CATCCATACTACAACCTGTGTATGTATATGTATATTAACAAACTCGAGAATTAACAAAACCGGGAGCAATTAAAGGAGCTTCTGAACTTGTTCAGTGAGTGTAGGCGACATGGAAAACGATCCCTGAAAACAATATTATAACATCATTTAAGAAGTTTTGTATAATCCGAAGATGACGTAATATGGGAAGAAAATGATACATAAAAATGTAAATATCGTTCTAAAACCCTTAATAAAGTGTTATTGTTATAATGTGATTTTATTTTACTATTTTCCAAATTGCAACTATACGACTGCGAATCTAATCCGCACCCGATTGTAATCCGCATTTGATTTTAGACCACATAAAATTTGTAAAAAAGGTGCGGATTACATTCGAGAAAATACGGTATTTGGACACTTATGTACGTACTACATTAGGCACTTAATGTGTATAATTTCCACTTTACAAGTTTATTTCAAGTCGAATTACTCACAGAGTAACGCCTTTTCAAAATCAATGTCGATGTGCATTCTTGCACTCACTACAACGGTTGTTATTGATATAATGGTGTGCTATCTTTTAAAATTGCAGTAATGATGTGTGCTCTTGCATACTCACACGCCTGTGCACGCATTTAGCTGTTCGTAGATAAGACAAGGTGAGGAAGAAGGCCATCATGGCTAACCAGATCTGTCGTAGACTCCTTGTAACGATATGGCAATAATCAGAACCATGGTCACCTATGCCTTCTTACTTTGGTGGCCAAAAACTCACACCAGTTCACTTGTACATACAAAAAGAGTCAGCTTTGAGTGACATGTCAATGAAAACATGCTCATCACTCAAGCTGATGCAGGGTAAGTTCAGAGAACATCTCGAAATCTTTGTTACCTGAAAAGTTTTGGCTAACACCTACTGATTTAAATAATAATATAATAATAATAATATACCTTTATTTACGTTAAGAAAACAAAAATACAAAGATACAATAGAAAAATCAAAGATAGGCGTAAATAAAGTGCGAAAGAAAGAAAAAATTAACCCCGGCAACATGCCATAAAAAAAAAGACCGTGTACATGGACAGAGACATAGCAACTGGCGCAAGCCGGAGTAGCTACCAAAACTGATTCAAATTCTTTGATGTTAGAAATTCAATAAACTCATTGTATACCCTAGCCAAATAAAAAGTAAAGTGTTTTTGTGCTATTGATTTATTTGTTCGAATTGCAATGAGATGCAGTTCGCGTACAATAACAATGGGATGGGAATGTTAAATCCCTTGGAGTGTTAACTGCCTTAATCACGACTGTCGTGACATACAACTGTTTTACTGTCATCAAACCAGATTCTTCAAACAACAGTACAGAAGGATAGATACGAGGTTTATGTAACATTACTTTCATAACAAGTTTTTGGGCTGTAATTACTTTTTGTAGGTGATGACCAGTGGACGAACCCCACGCAAGAATACCATACTGTAAGATAGGTTGAACAATTCCATAGTAAAATGTTTTAAGTGTTTTCAAATCACATACATCTCGTAGTCTTTTGAAGATGTAAACACTACGGCGAATCTTATCAACGATTTTTCCCACGTGAGCATCCCACCGCAAGTGGTTGTCAGTTAAAACTCCCAGGTAAGTAGTAATTATTACAGGTGTTATGTTTTTGCAAACACATATGCCATCAGTACAATCACTTTTATGTATCGGGAGGCTCATACAGTTATTATTAGTATTTTTTCTAATGGTAAATTTAATAAAGTTTGTCTTTTCTTCATTCAATGTAAGTTTACTATCCTCCAGCCAACTATTTATCATTTTTAGATCTGCCACCGTCTTATCCTCAACATCAGTACAGGAAGAACCTTCTACAAATAGAACCGTGTCGTCTGCATACGAAATCGATTGCCCTTTCAGGGATAAAGAAAGCAAGTCATTTATGAACAATATAAACAGAAGATTTAAAGGAACAAGACTTTGGAGCAATACTAAGGTTCATCAAGGACCTAGATCTGCCATAAACTTTGGGATTGCGTAAGTAATAATAGATCTTATAGGTTACGGTGACAAGAGAAATTCTTGATAATTAGCCTATATGGCTGGAATTAGCAATTAATCAAATTGACTCTTCCTCCAGAGATTAAAATTGACACCTTGACATCAAATTATTATACAGACAATAATGGTCATACTCTTAGAGTTGTTAATTCATTATAAAATTCCTTTTTTTGGGTGGGTTTGAAATATTTTTATGAATTAACCTGCATCTATATAGGATACATATTTAGCAAATTTGTTGGGAATTATATAGGATGATGTTGAACAAATAAACACGTTAAAACTCGGAAAGCTGAGATTATACGGAACGAGAAGGAATTTAGCCCGATTTAAACGAAACCCACAATTTCAAAGGGACAGCTCGGATTACACACAGACTATTTGAATTTTTATATCGGGATCTATCGTATTTTGCTGGATCTCAAAAAATTAGATAAATTGTATGGTAAATTGTAAATAAAATGTAAATTATAACGACTACGAGTTTGAAGGGAAATCACGAAATCGATTCACGTAGGAACATTACGAAATCGTTTAATATTTAACAAACATTTAATGCCGAACAGGAGGTACAAAAGTCTCCGGGCCATTATGTTCACAGATTTCCAAGTTTCTCCATTTGTTTTCTCGGAGCGGCTTCGCGACGTCGAACGTAATTACATTTCAAAGTACTAATTTTACTCAATTTCTTCGTAGAATTTAAAATCATAATATATAGTTATATTATTGGTTATGTTATTCGAAGGGGTGGAAAACGGAAATTAATATAAATGGAAATTAGGTTGGAAAGTCAGTATTTAAAGCCTGTTCGGCCGTTAGCGTTCATGAGTAATCCAGGGCACATGAATATGGACTAATAGTCCGGCATACGACCCAACATAATGAAGCCAAATGTCTAGATTCGGAGAACCGGAAGCATGTGTATGAATAATTTCGTTGGCGGTGTCGTTATTGTGTTCCGGTTTGCTTCAACTTGATCGGTGACTAAGTGTTAAATTTATTATTAATTATTTGTTAGAAAATTTAAAATTTAAAGTTTTGGTGGAGGAGCCGGTTAATTAATCCAATCATACTAAAAGTCAGTATCGTTCTTATTCTCTTCAGTTGGAAAGATGTGGATTCGTATCCTCGAGGGGAATCGACCCCGAAACGAATTAATTACCATTTAAATTGAATTTGAGCAATTCTTTCTCAATGTTTGCAGCGCAATTCCAACATTTCAAGTCCGCCGGGGACACACGTCTTGACACGAACGAACCGAACGAACCAAACTCGGATTTCGCTCTCTTAACAAGCGTAATGAAGGCCAGGACGCCCGAAAATCCCTCAAGTGTTTCAAGGGGGCCCTTATACCAGAGTACATCTCGAAGGGATTGGAACATATACATAAAACACGTTGTTGCATTTGAATGTGTAAATAAACACATTTCGTGTGTTTTTATTTGAAACAATTTCAATGTTACGTAAGAGAATGGATGTTGTGAAATGGATTTCTCGGACATACCCTAAGGGGGGGAGGGGGGCGCAGTACATCCAACTTTACGCCAAATCCAATATACACACTCGCAAAAACCGAGCAAGGGTCGCCTCCCAACGAACTAATTTCCCACAGGAAAGGCTACCCCCTCAAGTTTCGAAACCGCCGATTGCAAATAGTTGAAATTTAGCGTTTTCCGAAGATTCAAGTTTTGGCTATGCGCCTCTAGCTTTATAAACTCTAAGAATTAATTTTAGCAACATTTATAACCTAATTAATAATTACTTAAGGAAAGTATTTATTTTTGGTTGGTTTGCGTTCTTTCCGGAGTTCAACTAACCTCTAACAGCATCAAAGGGGAAAGCTTGGTTAATGTAAAAGTTAGATTATTAAATCAAACTGTCTAAAAGCGAGTGGGATGTAAGCTTCTGTGTCCCCGTTAAAGGTGGAATTTGCTCTTGTCGTTTTAATCAATTAAAATTGTTTGAATATAAAATTATAATACCAAAATTATAACATTTTTTGTGCTTAATATAAAGAATAAACCCATAAATTTTAAAAATACATCCCGACAAAATAACAAAACGGGAAAAAAAGAATTCGCGAGAGACGAAAAGCGTATAGAGAAAAGCCCTATATGTACACGAGAGTATTTCTATTATTAAAACGAACGAAATTTGCATGAGATTCCAATTTTGCGCACAGATATTTATGGTGGTGCGATATTTCACGGGGCTGAGGGGGGCGCGTGGTTTTTCCCCCACCTTTTGATGCACGACTGACGACAGACACGACATTCATAACACATAAAAAAATATCGAAAAAAAAATAATCAATAAAAATTATTCATCGTAGCTCAAAAGAATACGGTAATGGAAAAGCTGGTAGAAAAGCGAAAAGTTAAATACAAGTAGACTGTATTCATCCTCGTCGCCGGAAGTCCGGCACTAAACAAAACGAACCCCTCATTTTCTATCCGTCCTTTACGGACCTTCAAGATGGGAGGAACCACTCTTCGCAGAGGCGAGAATATTTCCCTCAATCCAAAACGACAACGACAAGAACGAATGAAAGAGAGTCATCCTAGGCTATTTACGAAAAGTCTCTAGATACGGAGCCAACACAAGAATTAAATTAACTAGTTTATTTCGCGCGCCACGCGAAATCTCTTTCTATCTCACGGAGAGATTTAAATTTTGACAGACGTTGTACGTCAAAGAGAAGAAGTAACGCGAAGCTCGCGGTAACTTCACTTCTCTTCGCCGCGTACTTCCCTAACCGAATGTAACGTTCATTTTAAAATAATTACCTTAGAGACAAAACTTAAAAGCCTTTAAGGGGGTGCGTTAGTAAAGTTAAGTTTAATGAAAAATAATTTTCACACTGAATTAAAATGCCTACAACGAAAAAGTTTATGAAAAAGGTAAATTTCGTTCATGACGTCACGCATAATAAGGATGGTGTAGTACTTACCAAGTCTTCCTTCTGGTTGCGTAGTTTAGTGGCTCGTTGTATATCCCTCATCGTATAGTTGTTCTTCTGCAGTACATTTTGTAGGAATCCTCTCTGTTCGCTGGAATAAGCTACCTATTCGTATGTGTCTTCTTTCGATACACTCCTAGTTCCATACCCCATCTATCTTCCTAATGACCAGAATATCCAGGAAAGGCAACTATTTTGCAGATTCCGATTCCATGGTAACTCATGGAGTGTTGTGAATTTAGTTGGTGTAGGAACTCCTGGAGTCGCTATTTTCCATGCTGCAAAAATCACGATCCTCTTCAAACATTTCCATATAAAAATTGGCGATCATTGGTGATAGAGGTGATCTTCGTACTTTTCATAGAATTCTCCTTTCCAGTTAAAATATGCTAGTCCTGAGACATATTCCGTCAAGCCCTCCGGGTGAGTTGCGAAGACCATCCTTGACTGGTACTTTGGTGAATAGAGATGTAACTTCATACTTCTGATTGATTCTACAAAATGATTAGAAATTGGTTAGAATTGTATTCATGAAAATGTTCTATATATCTTAATTAAACTAAGATTAGAACTAACACTAGAAACTTTCGGGTTTTGCCGTGCGTCTTTTAATAAAAGGTTTGACGTTTCGGATGCCATGTTGCAACCTTCTTCAGAAACTGGTTCAAAGTGACGAGATCAAAAAATCGGTAACTATATATAAGTCGGAAAACTAATTAATAATCAGTTAACGCTAATTATAAGCTAATTAATAACTAATTGCGTCGCGTCCGGTGTGAGGCGGGAAGAGGTCTTCGTGTTCACCACCATCTTCCATGTTCTGCTAAGCTCCCAGCCATCCTCTGTGTTGACGTTATTTTTATGTCGGTGAATCTCTATGGCTTCTCTTGTCAGTCTTTGGTAGTATCTGTTGTCCCTAGCCAGCACCACATCGACTCCGCTGCAGCACGTAGAATTTTGATTAAGACAGAACAAGCACTGCTACGAGAAAGAATCCACAAAACCTTCAATGATCTACAAAAAATAAGTGAGAAGTTACTACGACTCCACCTCTCACTTTCCAATTGTATATCCGAAGAAGACTGGGACAAAGTGACTAACAATGGAGAAGGCTAATCGCGAATTTCAAAAGACCCGTGACACACACATCAAGAAGTTTGAATCTCTGGAACGCCGGTCGCAAAAGAAGAAAGGTAATAGTTTACCAGTAGAAACAATCGTTATTAACAGATTGAATGTCCCACTAACAAAAGACGAAACCTCTGTGCTCGTCAAAGGATTGAACTACGCAATCGCCCCGAAGAAGGTCCCAAAGGAGGAAATCATATGAGAAGTGGAAGCAGCTGTTCGAGGGATGCCTGCACTGAAAGCCGAAGAGATCCGACAAGAAGTTGTGAGAGTATTGAAGTCAGCAAAACCACCAAAATCCAACTTGACGGTTGGTGAAAAGAAGGCACTCCGATCTATAAAAGAAAAATCAGAAATCGTCGTGTTACCAGCAGACAAGGGGAATGCCACCGTTGTTATGGACAGGAAAGAATACGACGACAAAATGATGAACCTACTGGACCCAGCCACCTACAGGAAGATCAAGAAGGACCCCACAGACAAAATCGTTAGAAAAATGAAGGAACTGATAAAATCCACAGGAATTCCAGCAGAACAGCAGAAAGGTTTGTTTGTGCAGGCGCCGGTACCACCAAGAATCTACGGACTACCGAAGATCGTCAGCGCCATCAACTCCCCAACATACCAGCTCGCCAAACATCTTGCAAAGATTCTGTCTCCCTTTACAGGTAACACGGAATCGTATGTCAGGGATTCTACACATTTTGTGGAATCGATAAAAGGTGTAAAGCTGGATGCTGGGGATATGTTGGTAAGTTTCGATGTGGAATCCCTTTTTACTAGGGTACCAGTTAAGGATGTTGTAGAGGTCTTCGCCGAAAACTCATTCCGGAGGGTTTACGTGCCAGATCTGGTGGAGTATTGCTTATCGGCGACGTATTTCAGCTGGAAAGGAGAATTTTACGAGCAGTTCGAAGGGGCAGCCATGGGTTCTCCACTATCGCCAGTTATAGCTAATTTCTACATGGAATTATTCGAAGAGGACGCTTTGAAGAAGAGCCAGTGGAAACCAAAACTATGGCTCCGATATGTGGATGACACGTTTGTGATATGGCAACATGGTCAAAAACGGCTCCAAGAGTTCTTGTACTCTCAACATCCTATGATTAAGTTCACCATGGAAACAGAAACTGCCAAGAAGCTACCTTTCCTAGATGTGTTGGTCACCAGGACGACAAATGGAGATATAGAACTTGGTGTATACCGAAAGAAGACCCATACCAACAGGTATTTACAGGCATGTTCACATCATCATCCCCAACAGAAGAGGTCCGTGATCCGTACATTATTTCAGCGAGACTATGTGAAGGAGAGAACTTGAAGAAGGAGCAACACGTTCTACGAGGCGTGCTGCAGAAGAATGGATACACTTCGAGGGACATCAACCAGGCCATCAAGCAGCGAAAGCAGAAAGAGGACACGGTAAGTACAAAACCACTTGGATTTATCTGTCTTCCCTATGTTTCAGGTGTAACGGAACGAATTGCTAGGCACCTCAAGAAGAACGACATCGTAGTGCGGTACGGCACGGTCAGCAAAATTAGCCAAGGACAAACTAACTCCATTAAAAGGAGCGGGAGTCTATCGACTATCGTGTAGTTGTGGGAAGGTTTATGTTGGCCAAACTGGACGCTACGTCGAGTGCCGCATCAAGGAGCATGAGAGGGATGTAAGGCTGAAGAAGATCCAGCAGTCGGCGGTTGCGGAACATTGCCATGCAGAGGGGCACCGAATAGACTTCGAACAAACAAAGGTGCTGGCTAGGGACAACAGATACTACCAAAGACTGACAAGAGAAGCCATAGAGATCCACCGACATAAAAATAACGTCAACAGAGAGGATGGCTGGGAGCTTAGCAGAACATGGAAGATGGTGGTGAACACGAAGACCTCTTCCCGCCTCACACCGGAACTGATTATTATTTAGTTTTCCGACTTATATATAGTTACCGATTTTTTGATCTCGTCACTTCGAACCAGTTTCTGAAGAAGGTTGCAACATGGCATCCGAAACGTCAAACCTTTTATTAAAAGACGCACGGCAAAACCCGAAAGTTTCTAGTTTTAGTTCTAATCTTAGTTTAATTCACACCGGCCGTGAAAGCCTTCGTACTTATGTTCTATATATCTTCTACATCGGTAGATATAGATCTACATAGATTAAAAAATATTGTTACACACGTATTAAAAAATGTATACAACGATAAATTGTATATATTGATTTTTTCGCACCACCCTCATACCAGAAGTAGTTGCTTAAATATTTATAAGGTAAGGCGGCCCGATTTCCCAACTAGATAATGCACACGAAAAGTTATAAATTATTAACAAGCAGATTTCTGAACTTAAAAGAATAGTAAGATTTGTCTTTGTAAATTAACCCCAAGACGAGACAATTTCTTCGGTCTGGTCACGTGCTTTCCTAATGGTTAAACGTTGAAACTTGGATCTTAACAACGTTCGGCGCCCGAAACTTAACCACGTTTGGATGTATTCAAGTCCCGGCAGGACGATAAACTCGATATTTAACGAACTATTCGGGCCGAAAAAGTGGCCGACGCGTTCTGTAGCGATAAAACGATCGTCGTTATAGCGGGATTATGCGGAATCTAAAAGGGAAATAGCTCCCGAAGAGAACGACGTCAATAAAACCTCCTACTTTAAGGGGCGTTATTTCCTCCAAATAGCGATTATCTCCTACCCCATCACGAGAAGTCTATAAAACAACGTAAAACTATAGTCGTTTTAGATATAAACCCCATTAAAGCAAATCGTTTAGAAAATTTTCAAAAGAAATTGGTGGTAAAGAAAATTTTCATATCAAAACGACCGAGTCTTAGAACGGTATCATTCAAGCGTCGGAAAAATCTGAAAGAAGTAAAACGTTAAAACGATTCTTAAAAGGCGAATACGCCATTTGCTGGCTATAATTTCGATTCGCGCGTGCTGCAAGAATTGAGAAGGAAAAAAAGGAAGTGAGGCGTTTCACTCCCTTCGGGGAGGGCTCAGTTTCTTCCTCGGCACTCGATAATTGAATCCTTTGGCCGCAACGGGATTTTCTTCCCTCCCGAGACGGTTCAGGTCCAGAGGCCGACTTCGAAAACGCTATTAGGGAAACTGCCAGAGGCGGACTTTGGATGATTGATTTCTGGGGTTAATTCCTAAGAGGAAAAAGCGAGAAATGTCGTTTTTTCTATTTTATTTTCTGGGATTGTCTCATTCTTAGTTAATTACATTATAACTGTATTTGTGATACCAAAACGATTTTGAAAGTAATAAAGTTCCGTCACAGTTAATAAACGGCCTTGTCAGTCACGTTGTCAAATTGGGGTCCTTTGTTTCGAGCGACGTCGACGCAATTTGGAATTGTTTGTCGCCATCCGGTCGTTGTATGTACAGTTACAAAATATAGAAGCATTGTTAATAGCTATCGCCATCGGTGTGAACATATAAAACTAGGATATATTTTTTAAATGTTCTATATTCGCCTCTCGAAATAAAACAAAAACTACAAGGATTATCGCAAAAAAGTGTTATTAAATTTAATGCATTTTACCGTTATATTTATAAGGCCCAACGAATGTAGATTATGCATTTGAAATGTTCTATGTATCGTGGGTATTGCAAATAAACGGCTTTTGTTCGGGTTCTATTTTATATTTTTAGCTTTGGTCATAACGTTTTTCGGTCGACATTTAGCGATCGTTTCCAAACAATGAACCGAAATTACTCGCGTTCGAATTACCTACTTTTTTTTTTTCGATTTTTTATTTAGTTTTTGCTTGTCCATGTTTCGTCCATATTTCAGGACGCCTTCAGCGTCTACTCGTTTTATTTTGTTGCAAAAACCCGACGGAAAAGTTGTAAATTAAAATTTGATTCCGTGATCGCTTTTTCAATCGTAAATGTAAAAAATTTCATTACATCATAAAAAAGTTTATTGCTTATTACTAAAAATCAAACACCATTTCTATTCGATCTTTTTATATGCATTGAAAAAAAAATTTGTTCATAAAGCAATAAACGCAGAATATTCGAAGCTGAATTTATCAATTTCAATATCACAACAAGTAAAGATTTTTTATCTACGACTGGTTGTATAAGTCATCATTACCGCACTCATTTGAGTTACGTAATGAAGTTCATTACCGCACTGGTTTCATTACGTAACGCATTTTTAGCCTAATCAGAACAGACTTAATTTATTGAAACGAGCAACAATACAAAAGAAAAAGTGCTATCTACTTACAGAGAAACAATACTATTTATTATAAACATTAATTGTTATGTTTCTACATTTCGAAACACTTATTCCAGATGAGTAAACATAATAATAATAATTTATTGAGCCAAATTAGAAAAAACA